TTTTTTGTGGCAATGGATAAATTGAGAGCAGGTGTGGTGTAATGATTTGAGCTTTGGACTATGACTCTGGAGATCAGGGTTCAATTCCCTGCATAGCCATGGAAACCCATTGGGTACCTAGCCCAGGGTTTTGTGTCTGATTGTTTCTTTTTCTGATGCTTAGATGCAAAGTGTAGCTTTCTGAACTGTCAAAGTATTCTGGCACATATACTAGGCATTGATTTTCACAGTTCACTTCTGGTATGCTGACATGTAGGCTGGGCAGGCCTCCTGGATTAGCCTCACAGTCACCCTGGTTGAACTGAGGTCTAGTTTTCACTGAGGTGGCTGACCTCTCTTTAGACTGTACTTGGGCTGTTTTTCAGACTACAGGCAAGGGTTCATTTGACATTCCTCTCTTTAGAAAACAAACAAAAACCTTCTGTGTGGAAATTTAGTATATCATGGAGAAGAGACAGCAAAGCCTGAACAATCTTTGATATTTAGTTTACTGTGTGGAGGGATTTATTATTGGTGGTGTGCTTTTCTTTCATGTGAAGACCCACCAATATTCTGATATAGTACAATCCAGGGCTTGTCTACACTAAGGATATACACTGGACTCATCCCAGTCCCAGTAAGATCTGTCCAGATAATGTACAGTGCAGCAAAAGCACTGTTTTAAAGTATTAATCTGGTTTAAGAGAAGTCATGGTTTACTCCAGAGTTTTCAGGAGCCTCCAGTTCTCTTGGCTGTTTGGACAGCTGGATTGGGTCTGATTCGGCCCAATCCAGCTGTCCAGACAACAAACTCAGCTCCATCTCACTAACCCTTCCCTAAGCAGCATAAGGAAGGGGATGGATCCTCTTTGGAGCCACTGTTGTCACTGCCTCATTGGCAAATAACTCCCTGTGAAATCCTGTCCATCATTGTCCATTTTCTTGATGTCATAATAAGGTGCCAATACAATCAATGGGGAGGACTAGAATGACAGAGAGCCCTGTTGTGACCTCAGCAGAAGCCGCAGCAGTGACTCTTGCAGGGAGCTGTTTGGCTGGTGAGGTAGTGGCGGTGGCAATGATATCAAGTGGGATAGGCCACCAGAGTGATGTGGTGTCACCTGGTGGTCTACCCGGACTCATTTTGCCTGCATCATGTCAACATGGGGCAACTCTGCAGCATAATAGCCTGGATTAAGGTGACCAGTGTACATGTGCCCCCACGCTCACAATGACCACTACAGTGAAAGGTTAAGCCCAAGAAAGTGTAACTTAGAGTATGCTCAATGTTTTTATGTGCCTTCAGGTTGACAACACTATGACAACACTATGGAGATTATCGTTCTACACCAGGGGTAGGCAACCTAAGGCCCGGGGGCCGTATGCGGCCCAGCAAGGCCTTTGGACCGGCCCCAAACCAGTCCTGCCGCCGCCGCCCCCCCCACCGCCGCCGCCCCCCCATGATGATATTGATTATTGTTGTTATTACTTGTTCTTGGGGTTTTCTTGGCAAAATCTTCACAGGGGTTTTGCCATGGCTTTTCTGGGGCTGAGAGAGTGTGCATGCATTTTTTAAAATTTTAAAATTCTTTTTTAATTTTAATTTTAATTTTTATTTATTTATTTATTTATTTATTTATTTATTTTTGGTGCTTCGGCCCGTCAATTGTCTGAGGGACAGCAACCTGGCCCCCGGCTCAAAAAGGTTGCCTACCCCTGTTCTACACTCTTAAAATGGGGCTAGGTCATTTTAACTGCTCTGGCTGCATCCTGTTGCATTCAGGAACTTGTAGTTTAGGAAGGGGCATTTAGACTATGCAGGCAGAGAGTCTTTAAGCCTCACTGAATGATAAACCCCAAAATACAACAGGAGGCAGTCAGAGTTGTTAAAGTGACCTAGCCTGTTTTAAGAGTGTAGTGCGATAAGCTAGTATAATAGGGTTTTCATAGAAACCATAGAGTCTGCAAGCGTAGTGGGGAGGTTCAGCCATCTCCCATGCAGAAATACAGTACTCCTGAAAGATACCCATTCAGCCCCTGCTTAAAGACCTCCAAAGAAAGAGTTCACCATCTGTCAGAGGTGCTTTGGTTGTGAGTTCCTGCATGGCAGGGATTTGGACTGGATGGCCCTTGTGGTCTCTCCCAATTCTATGATTGTGTATTACTCACTGAGGAAGTCTATTCCACTGTCAACCAGATTTTATGGTAAATAAATTCCTTCTAATGCTTAGGTGGAATAGGTGGAATGTTTACGAGGTTTTCCATTACCTTTTTCTAAAGCTGAGTACATTTCCATGGCTGAGCAAGGATTCAAACTCAGGTCTCCCAGAATTTTAGACCAACACTCAAACCACTACAACGTCTTGGTTCCACTATGGTCTTCTAGGAATGCATATTTCAGAGGATGATTGGTGCTGGAGATGGTCACCAGTTTTTATGGGAAAGCATCTTAAATCTTCATTGTTACTGTTGTTTTGTTATGCCTCCTATAGCCTGAAGTAACCAATAACTTGGATTATGGGAAGAGAGAGAGGGAGCTTGAACACTTTAAGACAAAACTGGCACCAGGTTACAGTGTTCCTTGGCATTGATGGTTCTACAACCAGAAATTCATGATGCCGGTAGCTGTTGCAGGGATTTTCCAGGTTCCTGTTGTCAGCTGTGACTTGCTTCTGCATCCCTCATGATTTTACCAGACCAAGTCATGGTGAGCAACAGTGGAGATGAAAAGAGAAATGCAGGGTAAAGTGACTGTAACCTCAGGCACTGGACCCTTTCATATTACACAATTATATGATTATATACCACTTTAACTTCCATGGCAACATCCTATGGAATGCTGGAATTTGCAGTTTAGGAAGAGGTATTTAACACCTGTAGCCAGAGAGCTCCAGTGTCTCCCCAAACTACAGACGTCAGGATAGGTAGAATCAGGGCCATTAAAGTGGAATAACAGCACTACCATCAAGCAGTGTGTCTGGATGGTTCTGGCAATCTGTGGCCCAGAGGTCTCTTGACAGATTGAAAGAGGTGACTATAGTCAATGTGCCTGACATTTATCTGAGGAATGTCATGCATATCCTGGTAAAAGAAAAAAAGAAAAGGATACCCAGTTGCCCAAAGTGGCAAACTAAGGTGCATCTATACCTTAGAATTAATGCAGCTTGAGACCACTTGAACTGCTGTATCTCCATCCTAGAGAATCCTGGGTTTTGTAGTTTTGTGAGCCACCAGCACTCTTTGACAGAGAGGGCTAAAGATCTTGTAAAACTACAGATCCACAGATTCCATAGATTGGAGCTACAGCACTTAAAAGTGGTGCAAACTACATTATTTCTACAGTGCTGATGTACTCTTAGAGATCAGCAGAACTCTGGGACTCATGAAGACTGATATTTAACCCACCATGTCTGGTGTTGAGGCTTGCTTCAACATGGTCCAAGTGGTAAGAGTACTATAGTTCACCTTCCTTGGATTCAGACATGGTTGAAGTGCAACCATTCAGCCATGGCTGAAGTGCAAGCTGCATTCTCATAAGTGAGGGTTAAAAATCCTCAGCATTTCTTTTTAGTTCCTTGTTTTATGCCAAAGTAACCTGGGAAACCAGATACACTGCAATGAAGCTGGCCAGAAGGGAGAAACAAAAGGTCTTTGTTAGTTCATTGGTGCATTTCCTACTTTAAAATTTAAAATTGCTATCAAGTCACTTTTGTTTACTTATCATTTTCCGCTTAATCCTCATGAACCAGGGCATTTCAGTTCTCCCATAACATTTTGTTGCAGAGTCCACACAGAACTAGACCTTACAAAGTTGATGGTCACTTATTGTAAACAGCATCCCCAGGTTTCAGCCACAGCCACTAGCTGTGTACAATTTTGGTTTTGCTTTTAAACACACGAGAGCTGGGACAAAGATTGTCCTAACAGACCTTTCTGTCCAAGCCAATAAAATATAATGGGGAAAAAATCCAATCCATTCTGGAATGAAATGTGATGTAGGGAAAGAGAAAGAGAGATTGCTTCTCTTCACCTTTTCCCATACCCTTCAACTGTCCTGTTTTGGCAGGACAGTCATAATTAATCCTCTTTTGTCCCACTTTTTCAGCTGCTTTTAAATGTCCCCATTTCTCTCTCTTCCTCCAATTTGTTCCCTTTGTACCTCAAAATCTTGCCTTCCTAATTGGATCAGGCAAAATTAAACTGCTGCAGCCTCTTCTAGCTTGTCTGTTCTCTTAACTTTGGTGTTCTTCCTCATTAATACACTTCACCATTTTGACCACACAAAGGTTAAGATTTACATCCTTAGTGCTGGACTTGGATACATCTAGCCAAATAAAGCAGAAAATTTCTCATGTAGGAACTTGTTGGCAAAACACAAGTTCTGGGGATGACATGGGAATGGAGAGAGGTCCAAAGGTGGTGAAGTGTATGTCAGTTTAAAGAGCATGAAGCTTACGTAAGTATTGCCTGAGTTCCAGCATTTCTGTCTGTAGAAATTAAACTGGATCCGAAGAAATCTGAATGTTACACATTTTATCATGATTGATGGGGAAGCAAACAATGCGGTTGCAATGCACTTTTGCATATGCCTATTGTTCTTGATTAGTTTCCTGGAGAGCTGGATAAACAGGTAAGGGTATGATGGTTGCCATGTACCTTTACAGTTAGTGGTCAAAACTTTTCTTGGCATTTCTTTAGGCAGAGGCTGCTCCACAATGGTATCTCCAAGGCTGTCTATTTGTTTTTAAAGTTTAGAAATTATAATGCTTTGTTTTAAACTTTTAATGGGCTTTGCTTTTAAGTTTGATCATTCAAAAATGTGTCTCCTTAGCTAATAAATTCAATTTCACACCTACCTCCTGAAAGATCAAGATAGATTTCAACAACTGGAGAAAAAAAGTTCCATATACAATTAATGGTACATTAATGTGAGAGTATGGACTTTTTCCAAGGGATGCAGTGGCTCAAATGGTTAATACACTGACTCCGTTGATTGCAAGATCAGCAGGTTGGCAGTTCGAGGCCTGGTTGCTGAATGA